CGCTTAATCAAATGAAAAAAAAAACAGTCATGAATTAAAAAAAAGTTTAACAATATCATATTTATTGTAGATCTACAAGAGGATGACATCATTTTAGAAGGAATCGATTTAAGTTATCTGAACTATAGTCTTATGAAGTATTAAGTATATATGTAGCAGTGTAGTTTTTACTATAGTCTTGTCTATATTCTAGATCTATCTATAGATTAGACTATAGAGTCTAATCTATAGTCTATAATATGGTCCATAGTTTAGTCCTTAGTCTATATTATGGACATTCCCATTTTATAGTCAATAGTATGAACTATAGTTTAGTCTATGGTCTGGACTATATTATACTCAACAGTCTGAACTATATAGTTTGAAATATCGTGTAGTTTATAAACTATAATATACTTCAAACCCTGGATTATGGTCTAGGGCTTAGTCTAGATGATAGTTTAGTCCATATTCCAGTTTATGGTTTGGTATATAGTCTGAATTGTAATCTAATTTACAGTCCGCCTAAAGTCATGTCTGCAGTCTAGTCTATAATCTATTCTATAGGCTTTAGTCTTATCTATAGTTTGGACTATATCTAGTATAGTCTAGTCTATACTAGTCTGGACTATAGTATAGTCTACAGTAGTCTATAGTCTATATTATAGTTTAGTCTATAATCCTGACTATAATCAAAATTATAGTCTACAGACTGGGTTTCTATGTTATGGACTAATATTTAGTCTGTAGTCTATATAGTCTAGACTACGATCATGATTATTGTCTAGTAAATTGTCTCGAAAATGATCTACTCTATGGTATATAGTCTGAACTCTGTGACTATAGTCTGTGGTCTGTATTATAGTCTTGTTAATAGTTTTGACTATATTCCGGCCTATAGTTTACAGACTAGGTTATAGTTTAGTCTATGTTATGGAGAAATATCTAGTCTGTATCATGAACTATAGTCTAGTTTATAATCTTGATTATTGTCTATTAAATTTTCTCGATTATAGTCTAGTCTATGGTATGGACAAATGTCTAGTATTTAGTCTGATCTATAGTCTAATTATAGCCTGAACATAGTCTGGACTATAGTATAGTCTTTATTATACTACACTATAGTAGTCTATAGTCTATATTATAGTTTAGTCTATAATCCTGACTATAATCAGAATTATAGTCTACAGACTGGGTTATAGTCTAGTTTATATTATGGAATAATATCTAGTCTGTAGTCTATATAGTCTAGACTATAATCTTGATTATTGTCTCGAATATTCTATGGTCTATGGTATATAGTCTGAAATCTATGACTATAGTCTATGGTCTGTATTATAGTCGTGTTAATACATAGTTTTAACTATAGTCCGGCCTATAGTCTATGGACTTGGTTATAGTCTAGTCTATGTTATGGACTAATATCTAGTCCGTAGTATGAACTATAGTCTAGTTTATAATCGTGATTATTGTCTATTAAATTTTCTCGATTATAGTCTAGTCTATAGTATGGACAAATGTCTAGTATATAGTTTGATCTATAGTCTAATTATAGCCTGAACATAGTCTGAACTATAGTATGGTATGGACTAAAGTAAGTCTTGATTATATTCTTGTCAATAGTATAATTTCTTGTTGCAGTCCTGACTATAGTATTAAATACATATGTAATGTTGTTTTGGCTATAGTCTGGACTAGTCCAGTCTATAGGCTGGATTATAGTTTGAGATGTTATATACAGTCAAAACAATAGTCTAGTTTATATGCCAGAGAGTATAATATTGTTTATAGTCTGGACTATAGTCAAGTCTGTGATCTGGATTATAGTCCAGTTCAGATGTTGGGTATTAAAATACTCTTCGTTCAAAGTACATAATTTATAAAACTTTTAACTTTATCTTTCCTGTACAATTTTAAATTTCTTAGGAAAAACACCAGAAAGAATGAAAACCTAATGACCTCTAAAAATTTGTTTTTATGCAATATAGAAATTAGACAAAATGGCGGTGATCACTAAAATACAACTCATCATGATTTATGTGCATAAAATTAACTTTTCATAATTGCTAATAAATAAAATAAACATTAGATGCAAACAAAAAGAACTTTTTACGTTTTGCTATTGTATTTAAATATTTTAAATAGCAAGTGTCTGGAATTTTGAAAAAAATAATACAAAAACAAACTAAATTTAAATATGTTTATAAAAAAACAACAACGAAAACCAAAACAAGACCAAAGTACAAATCTAAACGTGTTTTTTTTTTTTAATGAAAGTTTTGCCATCTTAAAAAATTAGTAAATAAAAATAATACATATGTATGTATTTAATACCTATAAAAGTAAAAAACCTCACCAATACTTTTTTTTAACAATATATACTTAAGCATATATATGGGTGTATCTATATAATAGATAGATACATTCGCGTATTTAATTTTTTTATACCTTATGTATTAATAAACCAAAAATAAATAGAGCAAAAAAAGAACAACAACCACAGACACATACTTTGACAATACTTAACCTACACTTGTTTTTGTTTTGATTATTATTATTATTTTTTTCTTTTAAATATTTCAAAAGGCCTGTCCATTCTATAATATTTGTTATTGTTTTTCTTGTTTTCCTCACGCACACGCCCCCTTATCACTCTCATTTTATGGAATCTCCTATTCTAGAAATGTTAAGACGATTTTTTTATACTTTGCTATATGTTTATGTAAATCGTATGAGAGTAAATTGTTTCTGACTTGATTTTCTTTTGTTATAATTAATGTATAACAGCAGCAAAAGAAAAAATATCAAAACCAGATATTTCTGGTTATATTTTGTTTTTTTATTTTGGTTAAATAATTTTGCCAAGTCATTCATGTTGATGGATGAATGTTTGTGCAGAGTATATAACACACTTTATAAATTGTTCCCACAAACAGTGGGGTTTATTTATAACGAACAAATTAGACTATAATAAAAAAAATTATATTTAGATAAATGATCATAGTTGGGTTTCGTTAGATGCTGACAGGTACCAAAATAGAGAAGCACTAATAGTCATAATAAATCTATAATCTGGACAATAATCTAGTCTATAGTCTGGACTATAGTCTCGCCTATAATGTGTACAATATTTTAGTATATAGTCTGGACTATAGTCTGGCCTATAATCTGGACTATAATCTATATAGTATGGACTATAGTCTACTCTATAGTCTGGACACTATAGTATGGACTATAGTCTTCTCTATTGTCTAGTCTTCTTTATGTCTGGTCTATAGTCTGGACTATAGTCTAGTCTATAGTCTGGACTATAGTCTAGTCTATAGTCTGGACTATAGTCTAGTCTATAGTCTGGACTATAGTCTAGTCTATAGTCTGGACTAAGTCTAGTCTACAGTCTGAACTACAGTCTAGTCTATAGTGTGGACTATAGTCTAGTCTATAGTCTGGACTATAGTCAAGTCTATAGTCTGGACTATAGTCAAGAATATAGTCTGGAATATAGTCTGCACTAGACTTGACTATAGTCATGCCTATAGGATGGAGTATAGTCTAGTCTATATTGTGGAATCTAGTCTATAGTCTGGACAATATTCCAGTCTAAAGTCTGAACTATAGTTTAGTTTACAGTCTGGACTATAGTCTAGTCTAAAGTCTGGACTATAGTTTACTTTATAGTCTGGACTATAGTCTAGTCTATAGTCTAGATTATAGTCTAGTTTATAGTCTGGACTATACTCTAGTGTATAGTTTGGACTATAGTCTAGTCTATATTCTGGATAATATTCTAGTCTAAAGTCTGGACTATAGTTTATTCTGTAGTATGGATTTTTGTCTAGTTTATAAACTGGACTATGGTCTAGTTTGTAATCAAGGCTATAGGCTGTACTATAGTCTAATCTGTTTTTAAGAAAAGCACTTATTAACACCCACCAACAGTATGTCATTCAATCTACAACCTTTTCCACATGTCATATGACACAATGAGTTGGCAAATTCTCACGTATGTTTTTGGTTAAAAAATAATTAATAATGAACAGTTTATCCATTTTAAAAATAAATATTTCGATTTCTGACGTCATAGCACGAGTGCGTTTTCTTATTGAAATGCGCAATTTTTTTTTTTATCATAAGTTAATTGTACAGTTTTCACACACGTTGGTTAAAAAAAATAATGTTATTGTTTAGTTATACATATTTATATAAATAAATCATTTTTTTTTCTTTTATTCATTTCTGCACTTATTTTGTCTAGACGATATCATATCGTTGGCCCAATTTGTCTATCCTGTTTCAGCTGATAACTGAGTTATTGTTTGAAAAATCACACGCACATATTGAAAAACACGCTTAAAGTAGAGTGTGCTAATCAGCTTCATATTTGTTTTATTGTCTCGGCGAACATTTAGCGAATATAAATTTAATTAATAGAGTAAATAATAAATCATCATATGTTTGAACTAAATCTGACATTAGGAGACGTTTATTGTTTTATACACTTTATTGTTTATAAATTAAAATTATAGAACTGGTATTGAAAAAAAAGTGATAATGACAATACAATTTAAAGAAACAGGTTTCAAAAAAAAGAGGTTAAAGTTTGTGAAAACCAATTTTCGCCATATTCGAGTTAATTCAAGAGACCTTTATTTATATAATCATTATATCATCTGAAAGTCCTATCTAAGTTCTATCAGTGCCTATCTCTGTTCTAACTTGTTCCTTCTTGGGGATATCTTAACATTCGATTACAAGATAAATTAGAGAAGCACCTTTTACTCAGATTTTGAATGCTTAAGACTTACGTATGACTGTTTTAAATAAAATGTCCATTTAAATTAACGTAGGACCTAAACAAATATAAACAACAACAACAAAATATTAATTTATTTAAAATTGATAATTAAATTTTGTTTACTGTTCTATTTTTATATCAGCCTACGTCATTGCTAAATAATTATCTTAATAAATATCATTATAATTATAATTAAAATAAATATTTTGTTTTCTAATATTTTAAGGTCAAAATGCTTGCGAAAAGAAATCATTTATATTCTTACGTAAAGAACTTCCGGTACGTTTGGCGAATATAATGAAAGAGATTGCTCTACTGCCCGACAACCTGCTCAATACACGTTCCGTTAGTCAAGTTAGTTCGTGGTATGTAAAAAGTTTCGAAGATGTTTTGGAATTCGAAAAGGCAGATCCCACACATGAGAATCTACAAGAGTGAGTGCGAATAAAATTGAACAGAAAGTAATTAGAACTAAATAATAATAATAATATTTTTTTCTACTTTAACAGATTCTGTCGTTCATTGGAACACATACGAAATCGTCACAATGATGTGGTACAAACAATGGCGCAGGGCGTCATCGAAATGAAAGAAACTCAGGGCAACAATGTTGACTCATCGATGGAAACATCGATACAATACTTTTTGGATCGTCTCTATATGTCACGCATCAGCATACGCATGTTAATCAATCAGCATAGTAAGTGTTAAACTCTGAGAGACAAACTTTATGGAAACATTTATTTTATCTTTTTGTTATTTTCCAGCTCTTCTGTTTGGTCAATTTACCAGTGATCAAGGACGTCATATAGGTTGTTTGGATCCTGCCTGCCAATTATCAGCCGTTGTTGCTGATGCCTATGAAAATGCACGCTTTCTCTGCGATCAATATTATTTAACCAGTCCCGAGTTGGAAATTGTTGAACACGATCAGGTGTCTGGTGAACCATTGCCCATACGTACTGTTTATGTACCATCGCATTTATATCATATGCTTTTTGAATTGTTTAAAAATTCAATGCGTGCCGTTGTTGAGACGCATGATAATGAAAATTGTGATAAATTACCGCCCATTAAAGTGTTGATTGTGCGTGGTAAAGAAGATATTTGTGTAAAGGTGAGTAAAAGATTTTAGGATTTTGATTGATTAGTTGATATTAAGGAGATTTGATTGATTTAAAATATCAGTTAGTTGATTTATTTATAATATATAAACCATATACTTGTAATAAGATTACAAAACTCTGTAAATAAAAACCTTATATACTTCTTCATAGACGGAGATTAAGGAAAAATGTAAAAAAAAGTATTGACAAATCTAGTTCATATCCCAACTAAACTATCGAACGAAAGAATTTATTCTCCTGAAATTCATTTCGTATAGATCGGAGTTGTCCTTTTCGTTGTGAAAACTTCTACAAAAGTCGTGGTCGGTAACCACCGCTATTTTGTTCCACAGCTGAGCTCCCGGTATGTTATCTTGTGTAGATGATATGATCCTTGCAATTCTACAGGTGGCTTCAGTGGACCATCACACGTTGACTCTAATAAAGAAGTGTTCCTTATAAAAGTCAACTCCCACACCATTTCTCATTTTAGATACATGATTATAGATCTTATGTGAGCTTTCATGGAGGTTTGATTGCGTCTCATTTGGTTCATTAAAGATCGATACGTACTTGGTTATTTTGCATGCATCATACATAGTAGCAAACGTTTCACGGTTAAGTTTAAATAACTGTTAGTGGAACTTGATCCTATGATGTGCAAATCTTTAGCATGAGCGGGTAACATGACTGTGGCGTTTTTGGGTAAACACTGTCTTATTGTCTTCCTATAGTCACTTATGCTGGGAAAACTGAAATTGTGCACATGTCATCACGTGCTTTCTTCATTTTATTTCATTGTTAGAAAGTTTAGAAGTTAGCTCGGTGCTATCGTCGCCAGCACATCCATCCATTCATTCCCATCAATATTAATTATTCCCTTTCTACTTTCCTTTCTGACGAACTATAGAGAGTACCAATAATGAACAAACCATTATCTGACGATAATGAAACGCTTGAGATCTATACAGATAGATTCAAGACTTCAAAGTATGTGGAAAATGCCTCTTACATTCTTTCCATAATAAAAGTGTGTGTTTCAGGTCAATAATTTTGGGGTATTACAGGATATACAATAGACATATTCCAATTTCTACTGACATCTAACCTGCTATGTGATTTCTATCTGGTCAGATTAATATCGAATATAGATCATCTCCTGACGAGAATATTAATAATTTGAACCTAGAGTTGCTCTGGATGCCAGGTCAGATGTACTTGGGAAAACTGTTTCTTGTCTATACGAAAGGGAAATTGACGCATTATTTGGTGTAACACTTTCATATTGTAAATCTCTCATACAGTGGGTAATTTATGGCGTGCTCAGGACAGATGGTCATCCTTTAGTACTTGCTCAACCATGTTGCCCTGGTAAATATTTCAACAGGGCACGGTGAGCATGCAAGGAAAGTTGTCACAGTAGATACATAGAATAAACGTTCAATCGTTTCTCAGCCTCTGTTCTGTTTAGACAGGAATTGCACCAACTAGTTCTGTCGAATATTTGTACGGTAGACTTGTCATGTAGAGGCGCTATGGGCAGGTCGATGTACGATCTGTTTCGTTTAACATGGAACTTGTTCTTTGACACAATTGGGACGGCCTATATATCGGCAGTCCTTTAAAGTTGAAGTTTTAAATTATCTCCAATTCCAGATCAATTTGTTGTCATAAGAAAGGAAGACGAATAAGATTTTGACATTTATAAACTAAAATTATTTCCTTGTGAAAATCGTGAATAAAAGAGGAATTATGAAATATCATAAACAAATAAATTGAAGAATTGTAAGGTTTCTCCTAATTAGTGTTATTTTAATTAATTGCTTTTGTTATGTCAAAGTTCAGATATGAATTAGGAAATAGGAAATACACTTTAACCTTTTTTAATTCATAGACAAATTGTTTGTAACCTTGCCCTAAAAATATTAAACGATTTAGAATCACTTATTGAGACAACAAAGCAATATAAAGCCGTCAAACTAAATTACAAAAAATACTTTTTAATGAACAAATTTGTGGGTTCCAAAAAGTTTTTTAACAAAAATACAAACAAGTTTAAAAACTACAACTTATTTTAATTCTTTTCAGATCTCCGATCAAGGTGGCGGCATTCCCCGTTCCCAAAGCGATCAACTTTTTAAATACATGTACAGTACGGCTCCTCAGCCTTCAAAATCTGATCTACATACAGTACCTTTAGCCGGCTATGGCTATGGTTTACCCATATCACGTTTATATGCTCGCTATTTCCACGGTGATATTGTGCTTTTGTCCTGCGAAGGTTATGGCACAGAAGCTATTATTTATTTGAAGGTAAAATTTTTATAATAATTAAAATGTCGCAACAGGTTTTAACTTTTTTATTTTAACAGGCATTATCTGATGAAGCCAATGAATTGCTACCCATATTTAATAAGACCAGCTCGAAATTCTATCGTGCCACAGTACCCACCGGTGATTGGTCAAATCAGGTAAAGAGTTCGAAAAAGAAGCGGGACATTATACACGCCTCAATTTGAAATTGAAACAAATTTGAAAAGACAAACTGTGTTGCGAAATTTTAATTTGAAAAAAGAAAACAAAAAACCTTAAAATAGACTCCCACTTTTTTCTAGAAATTAATTTAACGAAAACAAAAAATTAAGTTTTAAAAAACTCTGTGTTGTTATATATTTTTTTATAATTTTATGTTTTTTAAGTATAAAAAAACTCTCCTTTGTTTTAAGTTGTTTTAATTTAATTATTTGGCGTTTTAGCTTTTTAAAACCAAACTTTTGTTTCTTTTATACGAGATGAGTTTTTTTTCTTTTCATTAAACGTTTTGTACACTTTTAATTTTAGAAAACATTAGTTTGTAGTTGGTATTAAATAACCAATTTTTATTTAAGTTTAATTTTTGTTTAGTAAATTATATAGAAATGCTTTGATTTGTAGATTTTTAATTATTATTTTTTTTTTTGATTTGTTTTTAGACTATTTTTAGTTGTAAAAAAATTTGTTAAATGCATGTTTATAGATTCGAACCAAAAAAATAACTGTCTATAAAAATTTTGTTTAAAAATTAATATTTTAGGTTAACATTCCAAAATCGTTTCACAATCTGAAATTTTGGTTTTATCTTTTTAAATAACAAAATCACGAACATTTAAAAAAAAAAATACACGAACCTGTTAATAATTTATGAAAACTAAACAAAAAAGGAAACATAATTTTTGTGTCATTTGAATAGAATGGAATTAAAAAAGATATTTCCCTTTTAAAAGTTATACAAAATATACTCACTGCCCCAGATTTTAAAATAGGTTTAATAGCAATTTATTAAATTACTAAAAAGAAAATAGTGCCTTAATTAATATAAAATACAAATTTAGAATTGAAACAAGTTTAAGTTTTCTTTGAATCCAAACTATTCTATTCAATTGACACATAAATAAACAAATATTGTATTTAACATATAGAAAATTAACAACATTTTCGTTTAGTAAATACTACTACACAAACACATTTAATTGTTTTTAAAAAAAGCATTTACATCTGTTTTTTTTTCACAAAATAATAACTTTATTTATGATTTAATTGTAAATAGTAAATAATTGAAATACATGCATATATCTAGTATTTAGAGAAAATTAAATAAAAAAAATGAAAACAAAGGTTGATTGCTTTATTAAATATTATTACACTAATTGAACTCATTGTTAAAATTAAAAAAAATTTCATTAAAAATCTAAATTTAATTTTAAAATTTTGTTTTTATCATTAAATTAAGTTTTAGTTTAATAACACTTTACTTCTAAATACACTCTTAACTAATTTCTAATTGGAAAATTTAATTTTAAATTTACATTGTAAAGCACAAATAATTTTATTTTTGAATTGAAATAAAACAAAGTTTTTAAAGAATATTTTTGTTTTTTCATAGTTTTACTTATATATACATAGAGCAACACTTACTCATTCATATTAAATACTGCGTGTAAAGTTTTTTTTCCATACAGACTTTTATTCATATTAAATTCTGCGTCTGAAGTCATATTTTCTACATAGTTTTAATTTTGTTTCCTGAATTATCCTCCTGCTTGTGTGTTTACTGCACTTTATCTGTGTGTGTGTGTTATACTTTTCGGTTTGGTTATGATATTTATAAAAAAAAATCATTTTTAAAAATTTGATTTCATTCACAGAACTTTATGAATCGTTGGCGTTATTTATACAGTCTTTTACGTTCCAAAGGAGAATAGTTTGCAACATTTTAGTTAAGTTTGCAAAAAAAAAAAAAAAGGAATTGTATTAAAAGTATACTTTTGTGATTTTTAATTTATACAATTTTTGTTTAGTTTAAATCAATCATTTATTTTTTATTTATTTTTAGCCAATAAATGCAATTAATTTAAGACATAACGCATTTATACATGTTTTCTTCAGTTTAAATTTTATTTTTTTTATTATGGAAATATCGTCAAATGCACAGTAAGGTTAAGTTTTGAAATTATGTAATAAATTTGAAAGTTTTCCATACTTTGCATCTATTCCAATCGTTGCGAAAAATTGGTAAATCATTCTTCTATAACATTTTTATTTGGAAAAGTTTCTAGAGTAGAACTTCTTAAGAGGAATAAAAAAAGAAAAGGTCTGGAATAATATTGAGGGCCAGGGGACTCGACCTGCTTTATTAGTTGGAATGAAACAATAAGAGATAATATCTAATTGTTGTTGTTGAAGCGGCGAAACCTGAAATTATGTATTATCTATCTATCTATCTATCTATCTATCTATCTATCTATCTATCTATCTATCTATCTATCTATCTATCTATCTATCTATCTATCTATCTATCTATCTATCTATCTATCTATCTATCTATCTATCTATCTATCTATCTATCTATCTATCTATCTATCTATCTATCTATCTATCTATCTATCTATCTATCTATCTATCTATCATCTATCTATCTATCTATCTATCTATCTATCTATCTATCTATCTATCTATCTATCTATCTATCTATCTATCTATCTATCTATCTATCTATCTATCTATCTATCTATCTATCTATCTATCTATCTATCTATCTATCTATCTATCTATCTATCTATCTATCTATCTATCTATCTATCTATCTATCTATCTATCTATCTATCTATCTATCTATCTATCTATCTATCTATCTATCTATCTATCTATCTATCTATCTATCTATCTATCTATCTATCTATCTATCTATCTATCTATCTATCTATCTATCTATCTATCTATCTATCTATCTATCTATCTATCTATCTATCTATCTATCTATCTATCTATCTATCTATCTATCTATCTATCTATCTATCTATCTATCTATCTATCTATCTATCTATCTATCTATCTATCTATCTATCTATCTATCTATCTATCTATCTATCTATCTATCTATCTATCTATCTATCTATCTATCTATCTATCTATCTATCTATCTATCTATCTATCTATCTATCTATCTATCTATCTATCTATCTATCTATCTATCTATCTATCTATCTATCTATCTATCTATCTATCTATCTATCTATCTATCTATCTATCTATCTATCTATCTATCTATCTATCTATCTATCTATCTATCTATCTATCTATCTATCTATCTATCTATCTATCTATCTATCTATCTATCTATCTATCTATCTATCTATCTATCTATCTATCTATCTATCTATCTATCTATCTATCTATCTATCTATCTATCTATCTATCTATCTATCTATCTATCTATCTATCTATCTATCTATCTATCTATCTATCTATCTATCTATCTATCTATCTATCTATCTATCTATCTATCTATCTATCTATCTATCTATCTATCTATCTATCTATCTATCTATCTATCTATCTATATCTATCTATCTATCTATCTATCTATCTATCTATCTATCTGTCTATCTATCTATCTATCTCATCTATCTATCTATCTATCTATCTATCTATCTATCTATCTATCTATCTATCTATCTATCTATCTAACATATCATATTCATAAATAAATTAACTAAAACTTTAACTAACAAATTAGTTAAGGTAAAACGATATTTATACGAAATTTTGAATACAGTTGTACTAGTAACAGTTTCAGTACATTAACTGGAAACCCTGGTTCTGGTTTTATTAGAATTTTCTACTTACCCACTGTGCATTTCAATATTAAATATTTCATAATTTAAACCATTAGTTTCCAACCCATAGTTTATCAAATCAGTACAAGGATTTTGAATTTCATGCACATGTAAATGTCCATTTTTATCCAACATACAAACACATTTCTTTAATTATAAACACTTTTGTAAATTTATAAAATTCTAGAGTTCCGATATGAGTTCCCGTCAAATGAATGCTTCAGCACCCAAACGCTTCAATGATTTTCTATGAAAAATACTACCACCATCAAATGATTAGCAACAGCGACATTGACACAGCAGGAGCTTAAAATCATCAAAAGGATTTTAATTGAATCGCCCAGAGAGCAGCAACATTATCATCATACACCATCGGCTATCATCAGCCTTGACAACAGCAACAATAACTGACACATTCGGTACAATTTAGTAATCAAATTTTTTTTAGAATCAATCAATCCAACAAAGCGACAGCAACTGAAGAGAATCCTTTTACTAACATTCAAAATATACACTCGTATTAACTAGAGTTATTCTACTTATTGATTAACGGCACAAAATATTTATTATTTTTTAGTATGTAATATGTATGTGTAAGTTACAAATAAATACCTTTAAATTACATTTAAATTGTACGTAGTTTAATAAAATCTAAATCGTTCGTTTTATGACTTTTATTTTTTTAAATTATTTCGGTATGTAGTAAAAGTGCGTTGCTGTTGTAGCTGTGTTGACCATCCTTGGCCGTTGAACTCTGAGTCGTTCCGGCGCGAAGAACCAATTGCGTAGTCGATTAAAATGGTTATAAATACAATTATGCTGGAAATGAAACTACTCATTTCATCCAAGAAGAGATTAAGCTTTCAGAATCTGACTCAATATAAATCGAACAAACTGAAGTCAGATCTTTTTGTGCCAGAGTACTAAGACGCACCAGCAGTGACTTCGTAATATTCCTAGTGCAAGTAAAACTTTCTGGACCAGATGGCATACCGGTAGGGGTTTTGAAGCAGTGATCTTCGAATTAAGCTCGCCCATTTGCTAATCTTTTCGGCATTGTAAAGAATGCTAATGTAATGGAAGATTCCTAATGTAACTTCAATTCTAAAAAAAGAAGAACAGAAAACACCAGAAAATTGTCGCTCACTTTGAACAGCACTGTCTAAAGTTGTGGAAAGTATGGTCAACTCTCATCTTTTCAAATATTTACAACTCATTTAGGAACGATATACGGGAGATTTGGAAAGTTGATGTCATTCCATTTACTATTTTCGCAGAAGTAAAGTGTGCTATGGTTAATTTCTATCAAAATTAATTGCATTTGGTGTCGATAATAACTTATCTCGATTTATTTAGAGCTATTTCAGAGATAGAACTTTACGAGTTGTTATACATATATACATATATGGGATCTCGTCAAACAAGTTAAAGATTAAATCATGGATACTGCAAGGCTCTGTTTTATCTACCACTCTATTTCTTATTTTCATACACGACCTTCATTGACTATTTACTCTTTCGCCGATGACAAGAAAATCTGCAATGGACTTGAGACAAAACATGAATGAATCACCCAACCACGACATGGTAACAACCTCTGAATAGGATCGGTTTTAACTCCCGAAAAAGTCAATGTAGCATCTAAAAGAACAAACACATGCAGATTTTGTTGTCTCGGTCATTTATAACGGTCTGAACAGACCAAACATTGAATACAACTCATGTTTAGGCCGGAGCTACGAAGTTTATTTTAGAAAAATTCGTCTGCATACAGTATCGGTGTACCGTCGCAACGTGGAGTGTATTTTACTTTTCCATATGTATTACATTGAAATGTGTTCTTCATGTCCTCGATACCGATAACTTTTGATTGATCATCATCAGAACATCTTTCATCAAGAACACACTCAACAAAAGTTTGTTGTAGATCATCTATAGAAAGTTTTGAGATCAGTATGAATTGGGATAACAGATGCTATAAGAACTAGTCCATCAGAACTTCTGAAGGACTAGTTCTACCAATAGATCTGCATATAATGGCGATATCTGCTTGCAGCGTAGCGAGGCTTAACTTATCCGGAAGTTGAGGATCAAGAACATATGGGCACGCTAAGATTTTAAACCTATTACCTCCAATCTTGATTTTAAACCTATTACCTCCAATCTTGATCCAATCCCCACACACAGACTTCGATAAAGTTTTCAAAGTCAGAGTTCCTTCCAGGAGCAAGTGGAATCCTTACAGATGGTCTAAAATGAACAGCGGTGTTGGTCAAGGTGTCTTTTGTGAAGAAGCAGGGAAAAGTATATCTTACCATCTTCCCAACAACTGCAGTGTCTTTCTGGCTGAACTATTTGCTATAATGTCAATCTTTAGGGTACTAGATGACCTGAATATTCGCGCCAACATAGGAATTTTTGTCGATAGTTAAGCGGCACTCTCAATTTTTCTCAAATTCTTATACTACTACTTTCCTACCAAGGCGGGGTCGCCTGTCTGACATTACCCTTGTTTGGATCCCTACGCATAGGGACTATTATGAAAATTAACAGGCGGATGGGCTTGCCAGAACGGGATCTGCTCTTGGTATCTCCAATGCCGTTTCAGTAGCAACTCCGTTAGGTTTTATCAAGAGCAGTATCCTCATATTCTTTTTTCAAAAGGCTAATAATAGATGAAATAACCTATGTAGACACATGTTAAGGCGCCAAGTTATTGTGGCCCTTCTTCAATGGGAAACGCACAAGACACCTTATAAACTGAAGTAGGCGGGATATATCGAAGTTGATAGCGGTAATAACAGGACACTGGTTACTAGGCAGACATGTAAGTCGGCTTGGGCTCCCCTTCAATGAACACTCGCAGTTGCAAAGACAAGGAAAAGGAAGAAACAGTCTTCCATCTTCTCTGTGAATGCCCTGCTCTAGCCGTTAAGAGAAACCGTTTTCTTGGCAGTTACTTTATATTTAACCTTGATGAGATATCTGTGACTAAGCTTAATGATATCCTGAGATTTCTCACGGCTATAGTCTGGATCTAATATAATAAAATACTACATTTGACGAGTGGAGTGGTGCAATCAAAACGACTCTACTTGACTGTTCGCGCGCAGTGAACTATTACGTTAACCAACCAACAAACTCAACATTCACACAATAACCATCAACATATTACAAAGAAACTATTCTTCAGACGTATCGTCCGTAAATGGAACAAACTTCCTTCGATGTAAAAATATTATAAATTCATGAGTTATTTACGATTAAGTGATTTTCGGATGTGGACTTTAAATGGAAACTATGACCAATATATTTTAATTATGCAAAATTTTGTGGTAATGCCAATATTCTAAAGGAAGTTATTAACAATAAAACCATTTTCTGGGAGTATGTAAATTTGTATGGAAGCTATATGAAATTTTGATTCTAATAATTGTCAACCATGTTAATTTTTTGACATATGTATGTTAGATTAGGTTGATAGGAGGATGTATAGTACATAAAATCCGAAGAAATACACCTAGGCCACTATCGGTCCTGTTGTGCGCTCCTTTTCATGGAAAAAAAATTTATTATTTCTCAATGTTCAGAAACTCAGTTTCCTGGACGTAATTCCTAAGAATCTTCCGATCAGTGTTAGTCAGGAATGTTATTTCCGGAATAACATCATTTCCAAGATACTTGGATCTAACTTCGACGAATGCTTGACAGTGGCAAAGAAAGTGCTCCAGAGTTTCACTGTCCTCTCCACATGCTCTACATTCGTCTGAATCCTCACGGCCAATTTTGTATAGATGTGCTCGTAATCCTGTGTGCCCACTCAGAATACGTACCATCATACTAACTTCAGACTTGCTCATTTTGAGGAGATTTCTCGTCTTGTTCTCATCAGGGTCACCCCATAGGATCTTTGTGGTTCTACCCACCGTTTCATTATTCCAAGAGGCCTTATGGGATTCTCTCACCCATATTTTTATGACATATATAGTTTCTGAAAAAAATTGATCAAAAATGAGAAAAAAACGTAAAATTTTCATGGGTTGTTTCGGAAATTTGCTCATATCTTCGTTATTTCCTAATCAATTTTGCTGATTTTAAATAGTAACCTTCTTGAAAGCGTGTCTAATGAAATTATTGAAAATTTCGATCTTGCAGCTATCTGGGGTTTTATGAATATTGATTTTAATAAACATACGGACAGACATGCTGTCATGTCTATATAGACTCCACTATTTAGAAGGACTCGGAATATTTACATACATGTAACTTTATACTGTAGAAAATACAAACATAATGACAAACTTATACATTCTTCTCACGAAGATGAATGGTATAGCTCTTGGTGAGTATAAACAAGTAAGAGTGCTATATTCGGCTGAGCCGAATCTTATATACCCTTCACCATAGTGTTTTAAAAATTCATTTTCCCGACTATATCATTATTATAGCAATAGCAAAACATAATGAACAACAACAACGCTAAAGGAAATAAACACACAAAAAACAAATACTCAAGGCAGTAAAACCAACAGACATCCAAACATACGAAACGAAATACTCAAAAAAACAAAATACACAACGCAATGAAACCAACAGACATCCAAACATACGAAATTCAATACACCAAGCAGTGTTGTCAACTATTGTATACTAAAACGCGCCGTCCATTCACTCAAAACGCACTAAAAAGCGCTAAAATTATATTTTTACACAGTCTTAAAAAATATAGTATTTAGCTAAAATTTGTTTATTAAAAAAATTACTCCTTAATTGGAATTTTGATTCGGGAACGAAATTTAAAAAATTAAGGTTAATACAAATATGTTCGATTTTCTTATTCAATGACTAATTGATATCATCGATCAAGATCTCAATAACTAGTCAAAGAGATTTTTTGAAATTCCCCATAATAAATTTTAATTAAACTCTTCATTTCCAAAAATACCAAGAGCCAAAACTTTGTGAAAAAAAACTGAAGTAATCGTCAAGTAATTGTTTCCTTCACAGTGAAGTTATAAAAAAATAATGCTAAATTTTTGTGAGTCAAACTTTGTGCTATCAAAATTATTTTTGTATTATTCACATTAAAATATCAATAGTTTTCACGAAATGCAATTTAAATTCAAGTTCAAGTTAACCTAACTAAAATTAAGTTAATTTACAACTTTTAACTTTTTTGACGAGAAAAACTTTCCTTGTTGTGAATTTTTTATAGAATTTTCTGATCAATAAAAAGCTGTTACGAACAAAATCAACTGTTGTGGAATTTCACGAAATCAATTTTCCCTTCGAATTGAATGAAAATTTAAGAAGAAAAAATTTCAATTCTTTTGGCGAAAGTGAATATTTTTTATTTTAGTTTTAAAGTTTTAAAATAACTCATCACACTAAAAGATCTTTGAATTACTCATAATATGGAAAGTTTAGAAAAAGAACTTTAATAAATTTGTACGGCAGAGTACTGTCTAAAATTATTCCGTTTTATCTATATTGTTAAACTAGAATAATTTTATGTTATTAAAAAGATTTTTCATTTCTTGAAGAAAGCGCTAATTTAGCGCCTTTTTTCAAAAAAGCGCTAAGAGGAAAAAATGCGACTTTTGGATTGTTAAAAGGCGCTAAATCTAGCGCCAAAAGCGCTAAATTGGCAACGCTGACACCAAGAAAACCAAAACAATATACACAAGGCAATGAAACACACAGCCATCCAAACATACGAAACGAAATACTCAAAAAAACAAAAACAAAATACAAAGGCAAAGCAGTGTTGTTGTTGTTTATTTTTTATGAAATTTTCAGAGGTTGTCTCGGATTTTTGCTTATATCTCCGTTGTTTATGAACGGATTTGCTGATTTTAAATAAGAAACTTCTCGAAAGCATGTCTGATAGAATTATTGAAGATTTGGATCCCGAAGATATCTGGGGTCTTCAGAAAACTAATTTCAACAGACAGACAGACAGACGGACATGGCTTAATCGACTCCGCTAACTATAAGGATTCAGAATATACATATATACTTTATGGGGTCGGAAAATTATATTTTGGAAATTACAAACGGAATGACAAACTTATATACATATACCCTTCTCACGAAGGTGAAGGGTATAAAAATTATATAAAAAAACTAAACTAAATATGTATTTAATTTTATTTAGTTATTTTTTATTTATTAATTTGTTTATTAATAAAAATATAGAAACAAGCAAAAATAATAATAATATAATATATAATAATAATAAAGATATACAATTATAATAATAAATCACTAAACTAAATAACATTTATACAGTTAAACAAAATATTAATAATAATAATTATGATTTTTATCAATTATATTGTATGTGTATGTTTAAAACTTCATATCTTTTTTATTTTATATATTATATATGTATGTAATTGTATTTATTATTAATACATTTATATATAATTAACTTTTATTTAAATTCATTTTGTTATTTTAAAAGACTTTAATTAATTTATTATTAATTAATTAAAATTCAATTTAAAATGATTAAATAGACATTTTTAAAGATTATAATTTATTTTTGTTTAATTCCAATACACATTTATTTTAGTTTTTTTTATAATTAAATTTCATTTAAAGTTTTCTTTAGGTTTTTATTTTATTATTATATTTAGATAAATAATATTTCAACTACTGCTGCACTTTATTTTATGGAAAAAAGTTTTATAAAATATTAAAAAAGTAATAATATAATAAAACATTTTTTTTTAATTTTTATTTACATCATATTTTTATTTATTTAGTTTTTAAATTAATAACAAATAATGCACAATATTGTTTTTTTTTAAAGAATTTATTTTAACAAATTTTTTTTTACAGTGAGTGTCTTGGATGTTTTCAGAATTAGTTTTAAAGTTTCTTGTTATTAGATCCTGTGAAATTAATCATATAGCTTTGAAGGTCTTAAAAATGTTTAAAGATCAGACTTTCTAACAGTTTCACCTACAATAACTACGCCATTTTCAGAAAAAGGTGATTATATTCAAATTATTAGCGAGTTACATTCCTTAGATATAAACAATATAAACATGAATATATAGCACAAGTAAAACGTCTTTGTTTTGATATTAACTGGTCCCGTGATATGTCAAAAAATTGATAAATTTCAAAGAATGATCGATTAATTTCTAATCCATTTTGTTAACAGGATTGTAATAACCACATATCGGAAGAAACCCGTATAAATTAGTTTAAAACCTTTATGGGGCATTATTAGTTAAGTGCTAAACCTTTCACACATTCCATTCGGATTCGGTAGTTAATATTTCGATGCATAGATGTTCAAAGTGAATTAAGAAGTATTTAAAAGGGTAAAGCAGGGTCATTTTGATTACTACTCAAGGTTAAGGCAAAAACTTTTTCTGGTTCCTCCTAGAAACATAATGGAATTCTACCGCATTTCACTTTCTACTATCTTTTACTCACTGTTTTTTCCTAAAATAATGCATTTTTCACATAATTCACAATAATTTCTTTTACCTAGTTAGTAATAATTTTTCTCTTCATATAAATAGTAATAGTTTTTATTATAAAAGTGTAGCGTTTAAAGCATTTTTTTTACATATTCATTTAGGTTTTTTTATTTTTTAAATAAATCTTAAAATATAATTTCGTTTCATAGAAGATGAGGGGAGGGGGAGGCAGAGGAAATAGGGTTTTATTTTAAATAATAATAACAATATTTTCATTTCAAACACAACTCAATTACTTTAAGGGATCCAAACTTTCCAAAGTGAAATCATCTACGGACATTTTACTAACTTGTTTTTGAAAAATACTGGTGCCATTTGTAGTAACGGCCGTATCAAAGGGGTCAGAGCCAAACAGATCGGCCATATTGCCATTGCTAATGATGTTGTGGTTGTTGTTAGTGATGGCAGCTGTGGGTGTGGTAACCGAGGTGCTACGGCGTGAAGCTGACACTTTTGGTGGTGGAGCCACTGAAATTTCATATAAAATATTGTTAAAAATTAAAAATTTTCATAATTTGATACAATACTTACATAAAGGTGGCGTTATGGTCAATTCACTAAAACTGTTATTGGAATTATTGCTAATGATGCTGGTATTATTGTTATTAATAAATTTATTATCATTATTATTGTAGAACAATTGTTGTCCAAAGGATTTTGAGGGTTCAAAACCAAATAAATCATTGGTCATAGTTTTACCACCACTGCCGGTACTATTACCATCTGTATTCGATTCTTCTGCACGCGGATCAAAATCACTATCAGAATCTGAATTCAATAACAATTCATCCATTTTCTGATTATTGTTTTTCGTTAACAATTGTGTTGGCATTGAGTTGCGCGGTGGTACAGCGGGTAAAAATGATGTCGATGATGCTGACGATGTTGTGGACATTTTCGATGATGTATTACAGGAGTTAGTATCGATTAGCAAAGCTCTGTCATTGTTATTGTCGCTAAGACCATTAGTACCATTTGTTAGAGCAGACGAATTGGTGGAATCACCTGCTGTTACGCTTTGTGTTGTAGACACCGGCACCTCAACGATATCCTTAATGCCTTCTCGGAATAAATAGGTATCCATTTCATTTTTGGGTATTTTTAAAGCCAATTCACGCAGACGATTTTTATAAATCGTAATGATTTTCTCTAAGTCTGTGATTTGTTGTTGAGCTTTGCTTAGTTCCGATTTTTCTGCGGTGTTAATGTATTTTCTGAAAAGATGGAAGAGTTAATTTAAGAAATGTTACTTAAAAAAGTATGGGGTCCTAATAGTACTAGTGCCTTCTAGAGTCAATTATAGACCAAATTTTACAGAGTTTAATAGAAGGGGGCTTGGTTCGAGCTCATAGTCTATTTCATCATTTATCTAGTAGTCTTGAATGGACACGTATATGTACTCTGTAAAATAGTCTATTGACTAAACTATGGACCAGTCTATTAACTATGAACAATTTTATTGACTAGACTATAGACGAATCTATTAACTATTTTATAAATAATCTATGGACTAGTCTACGTATTACTATATGTAAAAGTTCATGGACTAGTATATGTACTAATTTAAGAACTAGTCTATTGACCATTCTATAGACTAATCTATGTACTAGATTATTGACTAGTCCAATTACTATTCTATTGTCTAGCCTATGGGTTTGTCTATATACTAATCTATGAACTAGTGTATTGACCATTCTATTGACTAGTTTATTGACAATTCTATTGGCTAGTCTAGCCTATACTAGATTATTGACATTGATTATGTACAAGTCCATGGACTAGTCTATATACTAATCTAAGAACTAGCCTATTGTCCATTCTATAGACTAGTCTATGTACTAGATTATTGACTAGTCTAAGTACTATTGTATTGGTCTATGGGTTGGTATATGTACTAGTCTAAGAACTAGCCTATTGACCATTCTATAGACTAGTCTATGTACTAGATTATTGACTAGTTTATTAACTAGTCTATTGACAATTCTATTGGTTGGTGTATGTACTAAATTGTGACTAGACTTTTGACAATACTATTGGCTAGTCTATAGACTGGTCTATGTACTAGTCTATGTTCTATTTTATGTACTAGTCTATGTTGTAGTCTATTTACTAGTCGTTTGACTTGTTAATTGATTAGCCTATGGACAAGTCAATTCACTTAAAACTTTTAGAATATGTGGTCTTTTGAAAAGGCAAACTAGTAGCCTTTTCATAGTGAAAATATTTACCTAAAAGCCAATTCAAAGGCTTGACCAATAGTCAGTGTAATATCGGAAGCCAACTTATTGGAAATGAATACAAAACATTCATGTGTTTCTTCTGACGATGATTGCGTGGAGCCATCCGGACTACTGCCACGGCCATTGGTCATATTATCGCTGTTTGTCTTAACAGTTTTGGCAATAAAACTAAAATACTTCTTGACACCCTTATCATCAGCACAATAGGAAATATTATGCAAAGGGAATTGATGTAAGATTTTCTGTGTTCTCGGCTCCTGCACCGCTACACCATCCACACTGATAGTGATTTCAACTTTTTTGAATTTTTCTTGAGTTCCCGTTTCGGCTTTTTTCATTTGTTGGGCAAATTGAAGTTTACGTATGGTGTCCTTAACAACTTCAATACCCTTGGGCTGATCCACTGGTAGACTGCCAGAGAACTAGAAAATAAAGACCAAAGTTAAATATAAAAAGACATTTATTTTTGTAGTTTTCCACAACTTACCTTGACTAGATAGACTACATGACCATTGATTAAAGCTTCTGGCGTATGCAACCAATTACGTTTACCGCCCTTGGTTTCTTCCTTGGTGGCGCTGCCATTTTTATTTTCTGTATTTTCGCTATTATCAGTTTTACTGTTATTATTCTGTTTGTTCCAAAACTTAAGCTGTGACATGGTGTTTTGTGTTCTGTTGTGGTCTTAATACAGCAAAATTGGTTTAGATTTTTTTCCAAGATATCTGTAAAGAAATTGAAAATTAATTAAACATTAAAACAAGTAGCAATATTATAATTATGCATTAGTTCAGAAAAATAAAGTAACTAAAGTTTTAATCAACTGCCTCAATATTCATTGCACCCAATTAATTTTAATAGTATATTTTTATAGCTAAACGCATTTTATGTTTTTTTGCCACAAAATCAAGTTTCCTTCCTAAGAATTACAAAAACAGCTTTTAATATTCGTCATAAAATGTAGTATTTTTAAATTTTTTACTGCTAAATATTAACAGTGAAACGAAAATCTTGTTTAATACTAATTTTTTGTAATTCCGTCATTTTTTGAATCATAATTGTATTGACGTCTTTACTAATTTTGTTTAAAAACCAATAACAATTTTAATTGTGTCTTCAATAACTTGTATAAGATTTTGGAGGGTAAACATCGGTCATTTATTTTCAGTTCGTACAGTTGTACAGATTTTTGCTTCGAAAATCTCGAATTTTGTGTAACAAATCGGGATGCTGGTGAAATTGACTTTGAACACCATAAAATAAAGAATGTCTAAGTGTTTAACGTGAATACCTGCCTTAACGGCCTTATTTTTACACTTGGTAGACTTGAGAACGGTCTACCACGCGGCACCGGAATCCTTCTATGAAGAACTCAGGCGGCAATTTTTGTACATGGCTGTGCCGGTCCATGTACAAGCATTTTGCTGAAGTACTCTAGCTGTCTTATCTCTTGCCATAGTAGCCCCGTTGCGGAATGACAGGCACCATGGGATCAATCCCAATGCAAACCACTACAAGGAAAAAGCAATTCACACTCTAGCTATAGAATATCTTGCCATAGTAGCCACGTTGCGGAATGACAGTCCAGCAATTCACTGGCCTAAAGTCAATAGAAAGGGAGACAACCCCATCATCAGGTGAAATCAATCTTCCATTATACCGGAAGTTGACCTTTAGATGTCATGAAAGAATATTTACAATGAAATCCCTATTAACTAATGACCCATTCCAGTGCATTCCTTAACCTCTTAAAGCCCGCGCAACCTCACTAATGAGATGGGCCTGTTGATTCGGCAACAGCACCTAGAGACGCATTTGGTAAACCGAAGTACCCAGCTAATAAATCAGGATCCATCTGTATGTCAGATAATGTGACAAAGAATAATTGCCCCGATATGGTGGTTATCAACCAACGAAGCATGAAACAATATGCATCCTGTTGAGATGACAACAGTACCGAGAACTTCCCTGAAGTAAAAGGTCTACTAAATCAGTACTAGACTCCTGTAGGACAGAGAAGTCTTTCCCATCCATTCTCAGACCATAAAGAACGATCTACGGAATGACAGGCAACTACCAAGTGTCAACCTTCCCCAACCAATACTGGCGCCCTACTACGCGAAGAGTAAGAGATATTCAACGGGTTCAGGAATCCAGCATAAGTTGCTGTGTCCCATCACCCAGTGACATCTGTTGAGACAGCAACAGCACCGGAGAGAGAATCCAAACATATATGGCATAGGATATATCAGTCCTTAAACCAACATTCTCTCCCCGCGAACATATATGGCATAGGATATATCAGTCCTTAAACCAACATTCTCTCCCCGCGAATTTGGCTACATTTGATCATCACCAATTTATAGTCCTGACAGACTAGATGTATTGGTAGCACCACTTTTCCCCGGGGGAACCATAAACTAGAGTAGTTTATGTATAGAAGTATTAATGTAATCCATTACGACAATTCGAAGTCCAATATGGAGCCCGGCCAAATTCAAATCAATGCCAAAGCCGAATATCCATCGCAGTAAGGTAATAAATATTCTGTTTTTAATGGGATCAGAAGAATCCCACTTAAAATTGGGCCACCTGATTGAAATGATTGGAATATGCGACTAGAACTAAAACTTAATATTTTTATCGGCCAGTTAAAAACTATTTAGATAGATAGTCATCCGTCAACAACTTTTTATACCCTACACCACTTTAGTGGGGAGGGTATATTGGATTTGTGCTGATGTTTGTAACATACAAAAATATTCGTCCTAGACCCACCTTAAAGTATACCAATCGGCTTAGAATCGTTTTCTGAGTCGATTAAGCTATGTCCGTCCGTCCGTCTGGCTGGCTGTCCATGTAAACCTTGTGCGCAAGGTACAGGTCGCAATTTTCAAGATAATTGGATGAAATTTGGCATGCACGTTTTATTTGACCCAAGGACGAAGCCTATTAAATGGTTAAAATCGGTCCATTATTTCACCTAGCCCCCATAGAACAGAACCCCCCGAAAAGGGCTTCTGAGCTCATAATTATGTTAAATATACAGATATATCGATAAAATACGGCACAACTAAGTTTTATAGAAGTCTTGATGACCCTGCCAAATTTCATAAAGATCGGGCCCCATTTGACCCTAGCTCCCATACAAAGTCCCCTTCAGAAAATTACTTGAATGTCCCAAATTAACTTATAAACACAAATATCGCGATGAAATTCAGCACAATAAAATATTATGTAAATATAAATATATTCACAAAATTTTATCGGGCTTGGTCCATATTTGCCCCTAGCCCCCATATAAAGCCTCTTTCAGAAAATTAGTTTTTCATCCATAAATTGCTTAAATGTATCGGAATAAGGGAATATTGAAGATAAATGCTTTATTATGAAAAATAAATCACATTTAATATTCATAACTGGTGTAGGGTATCATATGGTCGGCCTCGCCCGACTATACTTTCTTACTTGTTTAATATTAGGAAAAGATTTCATCCACCTAACCCCCGTTTGGGTTTTATCACGTCTACTACGTCTACGACCCAGTGTTTGATGGTGGGTATAAAAACATATCTGAAACGAGTTGAAGTTTGATATATCTTTCTTAAATGAGTTTGTACTAATGTGTTTCTAAATCTTATGGCAAGCCGACTCATGCGCCAAAAGATAAGACGGGGAATATATTGAAAAAACAAGATATTAAGTTATGACCCATTAGTTAATTTAAAATTTAAAATAGTAGAAATTCTGATGAAATTTAACCATCACATCAGGTTTTTAAGATAACTTTATAAAACCGTGAAGATATCTTTGTTTATAAAAACTATTATGTCATCTAAATGCCCTATCGGTCGACTTTAAAATGAAATTCTTAACCTGAGTTATGTATATCTTCTACCTTCCTCGAGATTTCGAAACAACTATTGATAAAAAATACAAAAATATCTTTTATTTTTTGGCAAAAACTTCAACGGACGATATCTCAGCAAATTCAATGTCTCAAGCTTTAGGTAATGGTATCTAGAATTATGAAAAATGTATAACAGAGCTGCATTCGCGCTGTTAAAAAGTCTCAAACTTTAGGACACTATATTTCAAAAACATGAAAATAATACTTTGGACTCTGGATTAAAAATCTCGTGATCTGTGTTATTTTCCCACATTCTGCAGAGTTCAGTCCGTAATTGAACTAAGCTCACATAAAGCTGCTGTACCGAAAATTAACCTTATTTTCATACAAGGTGGCGCAAAAGTAAACTTCCGATGTTTTTGGCTGTAATTGAAAAAAAATTAAAAACTTAGATTCTTTTTGCGGATTATTTTTATTTGGTCTATTAATTTTTTTTACATCAAGTCGAGAATATGATATCATGTATTTGACCCCTTTTTATGTCATTTTCTATCACTTTGGCCAAAACTTCCGGCATTCACATTCTTCACATTCTTGACGGATATTGTCTTTAAGAGCTGCAAGAGTCTGAGGCTTGTTGACATAAACCCGCGACTTCAAAAAGCCCCACAAAAACAAGTCTGGAGCGGTCAAATCATGATGAAAAATCATCTTCCTCTTGGTGGTGAATAAGGATGGCTTGAGGGTATGTTAGACGCGATTGGCGGTCAGCAGCTAACAGCTGATGCAACGTCTGGACTTTGTACGGAAACATCTTCAAATCTTGTACCAAAATTCGCTGTAAAGACCGTCGACTGATACCCATTTGCGTGGCACGTCGTCTGGTCGATGTCGACGGCGTTTCCATGACATCCTCGGCTACAGCAGCAATATTCTGGCTACTCCGGGGTCTGCCATACCTGGCAGCATCTCATGTTGTGCCAGTCTCTTCGAGGCGAGCGGCTAGTAGGCGTTGGACGGCCAGAAAATCTGCGACGAAATTCACGTTGTGCCAAAGTCACCGACCGATTATTGGTCAAATAAATTGTCAGCAATATTTCGCGTTCTGGAGCAGTGTAGCGTAACATTGTTTATTAACGTGTATTTCGCATGTGTTTACTACACAAATGTCAAAACAGAACTGACATTAGGGGCCAATCGCAAAATAGGGGGATTACTTTTGCGCCACCTTGTATTATTATCGATATGAAGTACAGTACATCATAAATGAGTTAATCGTTATAATAAATACAGAAAGGTTCAATCCATAAGTTCAGACATTATGAAATGAATTAATCGTGTTAATAAATACAGAGAGGTTCGAGACATAAGTTCAGACATTTTGAATCAATAACAACCTTTCAAAATAAAGAAACATTTTGTAGCTATTAGTAATTTATTTTTAGCTTTAGCAATAATGACTGGAATATTTCCTACAAGATTTTAATAATTAATGAATCTTTTTTTAATTAGCTTATAAAAAAAGGCTCCATATGTATTTTTAAACAAAAGGAAAACTAAACACATTTGCGCAAAAAAATGATTAATTATTTAAGATGTTGCTTGATTACCGGGGTAATTTGAAAAAACAAAACACAATAGAAATAAGTATTTAATAACGTGATAATTCTAACGCGAAAACTATTGTCAACAAAATTGTCAAGAAATGATGTGCACGTTAACGATAATAACACTGTTTTATTAATTTATACTCGTAAATTGTATAACAAAAAACTTATATTTTAACTTAAGAAAAACTTAAATTAAATAATTAATGAACAGAAACAAAGACAGTTTGTTCTATGCAATTTATTTATATTTATAATAATTTTGTTT